CGCGTGCGCGTACTACCGTCTCGTAGAAACCACGCGCGCACGCACGCACGCATGCATGCATGCACGCACGCACGTAGTGGTTTCATTCATAAAGTCACGCGTTTCGCGAGGAAACGCCTGCGAGCGCGCGCGCGCGTTAACGACAGAAACGGCTTTGCGCTCGCTCATTCTTTTCTTTTCTTTTTCTTTTTCTTTTTCTTCTCTCCTCGTCGTATAATATCTACGTTACCTTTACCCCGCGCGAGAAAAGAGCGCGTTAAATACGCGCCTCCGGAACGAACGCTCGCTCCGCATCGACTTCCGCTCAACTCGGATGCGCAACGTTGGAGGATGCGCCGCAGCAATAAAAGCCACGGCCGGTTAATGCATCCGCAGACCTCTAACTCTCTCCTTCCTTCTTTCTTTATCTCTCGTTGCGCCCGTGTAAACCCGTGTGTGAGAGACACCTCATGCGATTCCCTTTTATTCTCACGGCGTATAAATATTTCCTCACGGCTTTTCTCTGCGCTTAGAACTTTTTAAGTGCGCACTACGTATATTTGACTTTTAAACACATGTTGTATTTAATTCGTTCTTTAAACAAGAACGTCAGCTCGCGAATTGGAAAATCTCTCGCAAGATTTTCTCAGTTTCTATCTATATTTGTTTATTTTTCCCACAAATTTAGTCGACAATTGTCAAATTCGACATGTAAGAAAGTTGTTGGAATTTTTTTACGATCGCACGCGCGCGTATAAATTTCGTCAAGTGCGCGGTCTTGGATCTCGCGTTTCGAAGTGCGGTGACCCTTCCAGGCTTGAGCGGAACTCCTTCGCTTCCGGTGTTGTTCCGCTGCTGCTATTTCTATATATAAACCCACACGGCTTGTCGACGTAAAACGCATGCATGTGTGTGTGTGTGCGTGCGCGCAGAGAATTTGCGCATGTGCGAGAACGCGCTGCCAAATACTATCGCAGAAGAAGAAGAGAACTTTGTTACACAAAAGGCTACTTTATCGGCCGCGTAATTTTCACGAATGATTTTTCACAGAATTTACTTCGTAAATTACTCAAGTTTTGACATGTATAAAAAATTGTCTTCTGTGAAGAATCTAAAAGACGTTGAGGAAATTTAAAAAATCTCCCGAACGTATCTTGGAAATTTAACGTGTAATAAACACACGGAGGATTTTGCAAAAATCTGCATTGCAGTTTTACTTAAATGTGATCTTGTCAATTGGTGTTAGATTTTATTGCAATAATTTTCTCACAATTTTCTCACTTCCTCTCTGACAAACAAACAAATAAATAACGCATTTGTTGAGTAACGTAGTTGTTATACTTACTAGATCGTGTTGTTTTGAATCGTCGTCGATTCTCTCATATTCTTGGCGTGCTAGATTGATAATAGTTTGTCACAGGATACTGTTGTACAATTGGTAGCTTCCCACGACTTCCGGTACTCCGGCTGTGGAGGTCGGTGATTACTTTTTGTCGGAAGTTTCGTCGCGGTATATGTATATGGGGAACATAATGGGAGAGGGGGGGGGGAATGTACCGGAGTCAAAGGTTGCGCGACGTTTGTTGTCGAGATGAGTTAATCCTGAAAACTCGTTTTGCTGAGCTCGAATTTTCAGTTGTCTCTTTATATCATCATCAGCAAACGCACGCGTTGATAAGATAAGAAAACGTCAAAATATTTGACGTTTTTCACACAAATATCAAGAAAATATATTAATTGTTGTCTTTTACACAATATGAAAAAAAAATATGTTGCACACTAATAAACATTGTATTGTGACAAATAAACGTTAGATGTAACAGAGATCGTGGAGTAATTTGCAACAAATTGCGTAAACAATAATTTGCCTATACACGTTTGATGACGCTGGATGAGGAGAAAACGAGAATACGGGCAAAACGTGAAATGACAAGGGAAAGGACAATGTCCTAGGGTGGATGCTTTAATGCTTGCGAGAGAAGCGAGTTTCGTTTTAGGACGCACCCTTGCGTATCGACGCGCAGCGAACCACGAGTTCGCTACTTATTTCCTAAATCGACGTCCAACGTACATATATATAGTATATTTGTAGACAGCGAGTTTCTCGTACAACCTAAAATAGACCGTCGTGTAAAAATCCGAGTTCGTCTTACGAAATACTCGCGATATCTCTGCCCCTCCCTCCTCTCCTTTTATATATTTTCGTGAATTCAACAAGCTTACTTAAATTTCAAATCATCGTTCGCCCACGTGTGTTACTCGCCATTTAAACGTTTCAAACACACCGTCAGTCTGACGTGTGTTTTTCCTCGCGTCGGTTCGATTGATGGCGAAATTTATTGCGAATTTCACATTTAACGAAACGAAGATCTCACCACAATATTCGCAAAAACCACCGAAGGTCGATCGTTAATTGCAGATTTTCCAGAGTTTTTAAACACGCAATGCGCAACAAAAACAACAGAAACAACACTGACGTAATATCCCGAGTCGCTAGACGAGAGAAAGAGAGAAAGAGAGAGAGAGAGAGAGAAAGAGAGAGATCCGTCATCGAGCCGCGTTGCACGTGCGCGCTGTGCACCGGTTATGTCGACAGCGGTGCGCAGGGCAAAGTGCATTGTGAGACTGCTGACGGGTGCAGCACCGGTGTCCCGGCTTTCCTATGCAACGCACTGCACACCCTACCTCCCACCCTCCTGCCAACGTTCTTTCGGCCCCCTTTGGTCTCTCCCTGCTTCTCATTCCACGATCGGTGCGTATATTGCACCGACCCACGTGATCGTTCGCTCCGGCTTTAAGACCGATTATCGCGTCGCCGACATCTTCCTGTCCCTTTCTCTCTTTCTCTCTCCGTTTTAATCCTTTTGTCGCTCTTTTTTTACTCTCCATTTAGTTTATAACAATTAGATTATCTACACGTCATATATTATTTATCTTAAAAGCTAATGTCTTTGAAATCAAGGAGCGAACTCTCTCTCTCTCTCTCTCTCTCTCTCTCTCTCTCTCTCTTTCGCGTTTTCGCACCTTCCAGACGGCCGACGTCTACGTCTTCGTCGGTGCCTCGCTTCACGGGATTTTTCGTCCCCCTTTCTCTCACCACGTGGTACGAACGTGATGTTCCTCCACGATGACCGGCCGTTTTTGTCTTCGTCCGTTCCCTCTGCGAGCAGCAGATGCGCGTCCATCCGTTCGCTTCTTCCACCGCCGTTGTTCGCGCAGACTTCTCTGTATATCCCTCTCGCGCATTCTACGTGGAAACGAACGTGGTAGTCCGTACCCGTCGAAATCTACCTCTTCTTCGTCTTACCCGCCACGTCTCGCCGCCGGATTTTGCTTAGCCACTGCATTATTTCTGTTCGCCCTGAGCCACTCTTCCTGTCTCCGTCTCGTTCTCGGCGCCCAACAATGACGGATTCGCACCACTCTCTGCGCACGTTGAGTCGCAGAGACCAACCCTCATGAAAGTTCTCCGTACATACTTGGATGTTTTTTTTTATTTCAGTCATGTTCGCGGTTCTCTCTCTACTTTCGTTATTTTTATTTACCGCGTACGCTTTTACAGACACACTTCGGTGATGCCAGACGGCGTGCCATTTTTCTTTTTGCGCATCTCGAACGGTTCCGGAATCTATTCCTAAATCTGCCAACCGAAGCCTCTAGCCGTCTATCTCGGTTAGTGTGCCCCTACCACTGCGGCATATGCGCGCGCGTTCGCATTCGTTGCACCGGGAAACCGAGCCGGCGATGCGACTGTCCTTGTCGCACGCCGCTTAGCTCCATTCATGTCTCGGTTCTCGTCGGGTTATGCAACTCTCTGGTGAGAGACGCGAAGCGCGAGGGACGAGGACGCCGCGCACCGCATCGCACTGCGTCTGAGCCGAAGAGAGAAAGAGAGAGAGAGAGAGAGAGAGAGGTCAAACGATATAATTATTGATTTGCTCGTATGTGTATCATTTTTTTTCCCCCCTAAAAAGATATAAGTTTAACAAAAATTTAATTGCACAAACGCGGAAAAATCTTCGCATCCGCTTGAAAAGATACACAAGAAGCGGGAACGAAGAAAAACTCACGTGTGTTCAGTCAATATTTTATATATTGCTATATTGCTGTACATTTTAATTAAGTTCTCTCTTTGTTTGCAATGGTTTTGTAATATTCGATATATGTTACTATTAAAAAGGAAAAAAAACAAAGAAAACATAGAAATGTTGTAAAATCCCGCACAGGTACTGCAGAAGGAAAAGAAATCCTTTATCGTAGCTGTGAAAAAAACTGATTAAACTTAGGGCGCGCGAACGCAGTTTTACAGAGCAGAGTTTCTCTCGATTTAATTCCAGGTTTACGTGCAATAATAATGTGTTGTAACAATAATTGCAATAATATTTGTACTAACCACACACAACAAATCGATGAACTAGCAGCACAAAGGCGGAGATAAAACAATTTAAAACGATTTTCATGTCTAAAACAGTTCGCATAAATTTTACACAATTGACAATATTAATCTCTTACGATATCTCTTATGTAATCATCACATAATAATCGGCATAACGAATAACAGGAAAAAATTATATATATATATATATATATATATATATATATATATATATATGTATATATATGTATATATTTTGCTAGAACACCACTCGTGCACGTGTCGTGAACTTCGACGTGGTATTTTGTTGTTGTCGTCGACCGCTGATCGAGACGACCTTCGCTTCTATCATCGAAGCCTTTAAACGACTCTTTAATGCTCGTTCGCACTGGTTTAATATAAACCGTCGTTGGTTTTCCGTACTTTTTTTTTTTTTTTTTCAACAACAATAATTGCACTGAGATTGTCCGGAACAAAGATCGCCGAAAAGATCTCTCGAGCGATTCTGTTGTTTTGTTTACACAGAATGTAAACAAAATAAATGTCATCGACGAAAAAGTCCAATTGACTCCGTGGAAATTGACACTTTTAGCCTCACGAGAAAATGTTAATTGTACAAAAAAAAAAAAAAAAAAAATACAATGATATAAACATGACACGCGAGAGATGCTTCTCGACACACATTCACGAGACCAGACGAACTTATTTAATGCGAGAATTAGTACGAGGATTATTACGTACATAATGTCTTATAACATTGCACGTGAGCGTCGATTCACATGCGATTGCTAATACTTTAATGGTTCTATCGGCACAGTGTGTGTGTGTGTGTGTATGCGTGTGTGAACGTGTGTGTGTGTTTGTGTGTATCAAAAAATATACTTTCTATAATAGGATACAGTATCTTACACAAGTGTGCAGCGTCGAGAATTAGATATCAATAACTGATCCTTTCATTTCATACCGATCGTTTTTTCGAACAAAATACGCGCGATAAAAACGAAAGATAATTACTCGTTAAGTCCAAAGCTTGATATGTAACTCCAATAGTCCAACTCGTCGCAAAAAAAAAAACAAACAAACAAACACACAATTTCGAAGGTCGAGACTCAAACGTCATCTGATTTACTTTAAGTTGGTAAAACGACAGTATTTTTTTTTTATATTTATTTTCACGAGAAACGTACGTCTAGTTTTACGCTGACGCGCGGTCAACCTCGTTACCGTGTTCCGAGATAAACGTCGGGTCCGCTATAAAAAAACAAAAAAAAGAAAAAAAAGACAAAATTGCACCGCGTGCTGCGTGCTCTGTGATTAGAAAGGATACATTGTAACGCAATAAATATGCGTATAAGTTTATAGCTTCCAGGCACGAGAAACGAAGTCGGCAATTGCGCGCCGTATATCACACGCGCACACACGAGAGACACTCCGCAAGTTACAAAATTCTCGCATCGCACGCTCTCCTTCGAGAGAGAAGGAGCTCCGTTTTAAAACGGGGGACTTAAAATTGGAATTTGCATAATTCGACGGCAAACCGCGTCCTTTAATTAAGTTGAAAATTTGCTCGGTAAATTACGATAACGAAATAGCGACTCATTCCGCGCGCGCATGCGAAAATAAACAAAATTTCTTGACAAACATGATAAAATAGCGATTTAAACAATTTATATTTAATAATAAAAAGTAGTCATCTTTATGCGAGACGTTGATCAACAACGTTTTCTCGACGCGTTCGATCAACGTAATTTAGTTGAGGTCCCATTTTCAACGCTGCACGTCGTTTTTTAATTGATTTTATCATCCATTGATATTATAGATGATTAGTTTTTCTTCCTCGTGATTGCAACGACGATTTGCAATTGTATATCGGTGAATCCTGACATCTCAAATTTCGGACTTTGTGGTCAAATCTAACACTACTTTAATTTAAACCTGCGGTTCACACATACCGTCAACTCGGTTTAACATCTCGAAAATCGCATTGACTAGATGCAGGAAGACATTTTTCAAGTGTAAATAAATGCAGTCTACGAAAGCTAAATATATATATATTTAGAAATATGGAAACTTTGTACTTTAAGCAGTTATGCAACTTAACTTTCGCGATAGGCGTGTGCAACTTTTTTTGTTTGGATTTACCAACACGAACTCGAGAAATCAACATCTTATCAAAACTCCTTTTGACTTTACATGTGTGCTGAAGATGATCCAAACTCACACTGAGGGAAAAACTATCTCTCGAAAATTGTTAATCAAGAAAGTTAGTTATTCGGTGGCTACTGGTCACGTATTTACTTGTATTCGAAGTGTCTGTTTATTTTAATCAACTATTTTTATGTGTTTTTATTTATATTTTAATTTTATAAAATATTTACTAAAATCTCTTGCGACAATTTCTTCAAAAGAAGAGAAGAAAAATAAGAGTTTCGCGAAAATTTATTTGCTTAATTTAAAACGCATTTTTCTCTCAATGTACGGATCGAAATTTACGCTCCTACATTTTGTGACAAAAATTTGTTGTTAAGACATATAAACATGTGTCTTAACGTTAGTTAAAAATCATTTTGCAATAACGTGTCTCACGTTAAACTTGGATAAAATAATTGCGCGACACACAATTTAGCACGAAAACAAAAACATCGCGTGTCTCGTTCTTTGATGAATGTCAGGAATCACAAAAATACGTCTAATTAATCCTATTAACAAATCGAAAACGGTCGTTATAATGTATAATATTTTCACTACCGTTCGATTTTCCTGAGTCTTCGAGGATAGACGCCGTGTATTTCGGCGAATAAAAAAAAAAAAAAAAAAAACAGGATACGCCGGAATTGTTCGTAATCACTAAAGCACAGGATTCATTGTTCGATTTCGTCGAAAAACGCACCATTCACTGAATGTCACGTGAATATAACGGAAATAAACTTTTTCCCTCGACTTGCAAGCATTCGGTTTTTCTTTTTGTTTTTTTTTGTTTTTTTTTTTGTTTTTTTTTTGTTTTTTACAACTTTGTCGCAATTTTTGTGACAAGCTCGTCGCAAAAAGTGAGAATACGCCGCGACTCTCTACGTCCAGGACGACCTTAACCTAGGCCAACGTCTAAGGACATCATCACCAGGAAACCCACGATGGCGGCCCAGCTGGCGAGTTTGCCGTTTCCGCTGTAAACAGAAAGCACGCCAAGCGCTCATATTAAAATTCAGATGCGGATTCGCGAAGTTGCCCAAACAAATTCTTCAATTTTTTACATATCTTTTTGAGCGTTTCTCTTTGGATATCCTTCTCCGAAACTTTTCTCGGACTTTCGTCTTGCGGCAATATCAATATTCGGTGGCATGGAACGACAGGAAGGAAATTCCAATTCGAAGAGGAGGACGTAGAGAGGACATCTAGAGAGAGGGTGACGAAGATGCGCAAGGATGGAAAAGGCGACGCTGTCGACTCTCTATCTATACGGGTTTGCCCCCCCCTCCCCCTCCCTCCTTCTCCCCTCGTAGCAACGACCTGGCAGAAAGCGAATCCCAGGATGGCGAGAAATAAAAGGGTTTTCACGGCGAGTAAGTAGGGATTAAGCACATACAAAGCACATACACTCGGCGCCCGCGCCCGCGCGAGTACATATACCCCGGTATTGCACGTCACGGCTTGTTGATTTCGTAAATTATACACGGCCATCAATTTTAACGGCCGGCGAAACGCGCCGTTGTATTTCGGTGGGCGTTCTACCACATCAATCATATCCGCGCGGTAAATACCTCCTTTCGGTGTGGCTCAGAAAATTTGTATTTTTATTGCCCATTATCGTGTCTCATTGCAATGATAGGCCGGACAACAAATGTGCCATCTCTTCGTCGTTATCGTCGCTCACGCGGCAAAACTGGAGACGGTCTCTCGCGATTGCGCTAATCGCACAAGACGATTCTAAAATTGGATTTATCTCTCTCTCGCGCGCGCGTTTTTTAGGCAATTCTATTTATGAGATACGACGATTTATCTCATTCTCGTCGCGCAGTAAAAATAAGATACAAAATAATTTCTTGATTTTGACGAGACGATTCGTAATTTTTAAATTCTTATTTCCACGTTTCATTCTCTTATCGAATATTTCACGTAAAAAAAGAGAGAGAGAAAAAGAGAGAGAGAGAGAGAGAGAGAGTAAAAGGTAGGCCAATAAATTTAAATATTCTTACGAGGATCGGCCGCGTCGAACACGAAGCACGGATATCATCGGTAAAGCGGGCGTTCCTTTTCGCCGAGCAGAGGAAAATGCAAATTGCGCGAGAGGCAACCGTTCCGCGAAACGCGCCGAGCCGCACCGAGAGCCGATTTTTGCCGGCGCTTCCCGCTTCTCCGCGCGCGGAGAATATATATCCCCAAATCTCTCGAGAAGATTCGAAAGAATTCCGCTCGCTTTTTCGATCGTCTCATCTTCTTAGGCCGCTGTCAGGACGTTCGCGCGCGAAACCAGAAACGAATGTAAAACTTGTCCAACCCAATGTGTAGTAAGTAATAGCTCGAGACGCGCTCTCTAACGCAAATATTATTTAAACCCACGAATGGGAGGTACTTGTAGATTTTTAAGGATAGTTTATTTATAGTCCGCGCTCTTCTTGCGCGGCGCAAACACTCGCTAAATAATACGCGCGTAAACACAAATAAGGAAATCTAAACTCCTGAATGAATGTTCTATAAATACGTGTTCTCTTCCTTTCCCTCCTGCGCGTCACCGAACCTCGCATGATATCGACGGACTTGTTGGATGACGGACTTGCGCGCATAATGCGCGCCTCTATGCAAATGTATATAGCTCGAGCGAGAGCTTCCCTTTGAAGAAAGATCGCGCGGAGGTTCTTCTTCCGCGGAGGTCGAGCAACGGTTTCCACGAAGGAGGAGAGAGAGAAGGAAGAGAAGACAGAAAGAGAGAGAGAGATTGAGAGAAGACCAGGCTTGCGTATATATACGCGAGAGAGCGCGCGAGCGATCTGTTTTCACTTTTGTGTTTTCCGGCCACCCGGAGGGTTCCCGAGGGAGCGAGTCGAGACTGACTGTCTCAGGGGCTTCGCGCGCGCGACAAGAGGGAAAAAGAGAAAGAAACACCGTGGGCTCCGGTATCCGGGCGGTTAGATCGCACGCGAAATACAAAAGGAGCCAATTATAATGACAATGCGCCTTCTTCAGCTAGACCGCCAGGCCTGGGAAAGAAATTCGCCACGTCCGTTTCGCCGGCGGCGCGCTAACTACGGCACTGCCGTCACGCGCCATTGTACCGTAATCGCTCTCGAATACGGACATCGTAGATACATACGCGAGTGTCGATGTTCTTATATTTGTATAGGAATGCGCGCGTGTACGTGTGTGGCCGTCACATGTGAGTAGAAATTCATAGGACATACGCGACACGAATTTTTTTTCTCCTCCATATTTATGCGCCTCGATGCTCCTCGCGCGCGTTTGAAAAGGATTTCTAAAGCGAATTCGCCGAGCGAATTCTTCGGCGACTGCGAACGTCGTCTCTTGGCAACTGCAAGAGACTTGCGCGGTTGAAAGAACTTACACAGCATTGCACCGGTGCAATAAATGAACGTTAATAAACAAATAGAAACATATCTACTGTTTGTTTCGGCGTAAACAACAGATACTGATGACAATGTAAAGTTGGACGATAGCAAGCGAGAGAATGGAACTCGTAGGAATCTTGCGAGTCGATGGGACTCTCGAAGGTCGCGCATCGGTCTCGGAGCGGCTATTCGCGCGCGTCCGCGAAACGGGGGAATAAATCCCGAAATATAAAAGAGCCATTGTGTCGGTGGGAAAAGCGCCTTCCACCCTTCTGACTCCGATCCTGGGCCTGGACTCTAATTCGTCCTGAATGGGCCGAGGGTGAAACGTGAGACGGAAACGGGTGCAAGTGCACGGCGAACTGGTGCCTCCGGTATACACGAAGAGATTGAAAAAAAAATCGAAAGAGGAGAGGAGGAGGAGAGAGAGAGAGAGTGAGACAGAGAGAAATCAAGAAGATGGAGAACGGAGGAGAGAAAGGACAAAGAGGAGAAGCCGGAACCAGTGAAGAGAACGAGTTGCGCGCCCGAGTCCCTTTACGAACCGGCTTCACCCTTTTGCTGTTCAACACCACCTTCCACGCATATTACAAAATACTAACAAGTAAAAGCGTCAAATTAAAATCCTAGTTCGTGCTTCATTTGATTATTAGAAATTCTTTGATCAAATATTTAATTTAACATCGAAGTTAAAAAGAGAGAAAAGAATTAAAATTACATCTTGTTAACGCAAGATTGTCGACCAAACGAGATTACTGACGCGTCGCATGTATTTTCAAAAAAAAAAAAAGAAAAAAAAAAGAAAAAAAACTGTCTACTTCGCGTTACAAAGCGATCTCGGGAACGAGTCGAGCGACCGTTAGAAGCGGCACGGAATACCGGACCCGTAATTTTGAGCATCGCAAAAAAACGCGCAAATAGTCGAGTTGCTTCTCGCAGTTCCAAGTTTTCCACGGACAAGTGATTATACGGTACATACCTTTGATGCGCTTCCGGGATGATGTCGTCGATCACGACGTAGATCATCGCGCCGGCCGCGAAGGCAAGTGCATAAGGTAGCGCAGGTGTAGCATACGTCACTCCGGCTGCGCCAAGTATGCCGGCGACGGGCTCGACCATCCCCGAGAGTTGGCCGTACCAGAAGCTCTTCAGCGTGCTGATCCCGGCGGCCTGGAGCGGCAGGGACACCGCCAATCCTTCCGGAAAATTCTGTATCCCAATCCCGATCGCGAGATTTCTGCAATGCACAAAATGTTTTGTTCTCTAAAAATTAATGAACAATTTTTATCTTAAACTGAAGGACAACTCTTAACAACTCGAAGAGACAAACAAACGGGATTCTCAAATTACTTACTCGAACGCGTATCGATCCGCACATCGGCGAGTCGCGGTATGCAAAAATAACGGCACGAAAGAAAGAGAAATAAATAAGTACTTAGCGCGATTATGTGATAAGAACGAAACCGAAGGAGACAAGGTGGCTCCACGGCGAGAATCGACTTGACGCGCGGACACACATACACACAATTACAATATCAATCTTTCTCTCTCTTTCTCTCTCTCTCTCTTCGCATCGGCCGGCGGTAAGACTCTTGAAACTGGTCGACGGGTTCGACATTCTCCGGATTTTTCCATCTCCGCGAGCGAAGCGCAGCTCGGAGAGCCGCGAGCCTTCCTAGATCCAGTCGTGTGTATACCGCTCGCTCTTTTATGCCTGCCGGAGAGCGGCTCTTTAAGCTTAGTCCGACCAGGATCGCCGCTCATAAATAAGATGTCAATGAACGACAAAGCCTCGGGTTTCGTTCCCAGTTACGCGAGAGCTTCAACGACCGGCTTCGACGAACTATCCGCGCAAATGGTCGCGAACAATTAACGCGTACAATCGTGTGTAATATAACGTAACTGTTAACAATAATCGCAATATTAATGACGAGTTTTGATCGTGTAACTCGCGGTTACCCGAACATCTGACCGTCAATTAATTGTTCGAGTTAATTAAAACGCAGAGAGTTAAAAATTGAAATAATGAAAAATAAAAACAACACTATGATAATAAAGCGATCGACACGAAATGGGCGCAAGAGCTTTTGTCAGCTTTGTTACCAGCTCGCGCGCGAGACCTCTTTCTTCGACCTCCGTTCATCTCTGTCTCCCTTTTCCGCGACCTCGCGGACCGCCGAGCGTGATCTATGGTCCAAGTAATAGCGTGGTGTAGGATCACGTCGAAGAATGAGGGAGAAAGGCAGGCGAACGAGCGAGAGAGCGAGAAGGAGTGGCGAGAGAGAGAGAGAGAGAGAGAGAGACGTAACAGGTGAATGAACGGCGGGATCGTCGTACACAATCTAACACACTCGGCACACACGAGCGTGTGGCCGAGGGGGATATCTTCACATACTGCACACCGCCGTTGTGGAATTCTCCTCAACTTTGGAATATCATCGCTATACACGACCGCTCTCTCGACCCCACCGGGCGCGTCTGCCGATCCCCGCGCGCGACGAATCCTTCCATTCACTACTTCGAGCGAGAAACGAGGTTGAACTTCACACACACACACACACACACACACATACACAGGGGAAAACTTCGCGGACGAAGTAAATTTCGTGAGAAATATCGAGCTACTAGCTTTAGTTAGTACATTACTCGGACAGGAGTATTCCCAAGAGAGAGAGAGAGAGAGAGAGAGAGAACAAAACATTTAAAATAAAACTATCTCTCGCTCTCTCTTAGAAATCAAACCGCGTGTAATACACAAAACAGTTTGCGACTTTCACGAGGTCGTGTTTTTGATCACTTCTAGACGACTGTTGAGTTTCGAAATTATTTTCGAACACGTTACATAAAACGATAATGTTATTGAAAATATTTTCTCTCTCTCTCTCTCTCTCTCTCTCTCTCTTTCTCTCTCATTCTCTCCGTCGATATACGGACTTTAATGAAATTCTCGAGATCGACATAATAGTATTCCCATAAAACTAGACTTGCGAGGTCTCTCGCAAGAACACAGGGAGCGGTCGGAGACCTGTTCGGTTGGCGATGAGATGATCCTATTCAGAGGTCCGTAAGAAACGAGAAAACGGTATCGCCGAGTTAGTCAGTCTCCTAGAGAGACCATGGACTTATCCGAATGAATGACTCGGACCGGATTTGAACAGACGCAGAGAAGTGACGCGTGCGCGAAGCGACTGGGAAGAAAGAAAAACCCCTTCGCGCGGTTCTGGTACGCGGAACGCGGTAACGAAGATCTTCCGCGATCTAGCTCCCGTAATTCGATATTCATGAGCGGCTGGGATTTTACGAGGCGAGCGTTAAGGCAGCTGAAATAAGCCGTGCTTAAGGTTTCGTCGCTGTTAGTGATCATATTTCGTGACTTAACAAAGTGCATCATCTCTCCCCCTCCCCCCTCGTTCTCTCCGACAAGTTAATAAATATTTCAAGTAGATATAAATCAATAACTACGTAAATGTTTTCGCGTAATAAATGCGCGAGCTCTCGCGCAACAGCGTAAAACTTTTTTTTTTGCGCTGTTGCACCGGCCAACAATTTGCTGAGTCTGTTTCAACAAAAAAATTCAAAGCTCAGCAAATTTTCCCGCTAGCCACGTAGTAACTTAATCTTCTCGCTATTCTAGCAAATCTTCTCTTTCCTTCGTGCGTTTCTTCTTTGCGTCGTTGCTTCAAGATGAAAAAAAAAAAAGTTTCAAAGCAATTTTTTTTGTGTGTAAAATTATTTTCAACTTTACAAATATAAAATAACGCGAATCATCTCGCGATTGTTCTATCGATAGCGAGACGACGTCTGGTTACCGTGCGCGATAAAAACGCCTACTTTCGACACGAGCGGCGCGCAAAAATATTGCCGTTAGCGCGAGATCGGGAACGTTCACGAGTTGTGTCTCGCGCAAAAGTGTCTAAACCGATCGGCGGATGCGGAAAAAAGCTTGGAATCGAGCGATCTAGACGTGACGACACAGAAGATTCGCTTCCGCGATCCGACGTGGCGGTAGATCGTTGATCTGCGAACGAGCAGGACTTACGCGGAACAATAGATCAACGCGGATGCCAACGGTAGACGACAGGCGGGGTCGGGCACAGGTGAATGAATGACGCGATTCGCTGCAGCGCGCTCGGTATATAAAAGTAGATTCTCTCTGTTCTCCTCGCGATATAGGAGAACAACCAAACTCCGTGGTTTATTTCACGAGGACGACGATGACGACGACCACGACGACGACGACGACGACGACGACGACGATGACGACGACGACGACATCATCGTCGCGCCGCATTCCTACGGCGTCGAAGTACATAAGTGGTTGTACAGTTAACCCGTCGGGTCCGGCTGTTCGCCGGTTGCACCGGGGGAGGTCACCCGAGTTCCGAGAATGATCGTCCCTGGCCTCCTCGTTCTCTCCTCGCTCTGCCGCTTGTTCTCACACGTACGAGTTGCGCGCGCGCGTATGTGTTCGCATGTGCGCACGAGTGCACATTGTCTCTCTTTCTCCGTATTGCCACCATATACGCGAACCGTGCACAGTTTGTCTCGCTCTGCGGATACCCCACCATCGGTGGGGCCCTTCGGCGCGGGCACCACCACCACACGCCGACTGGTGGTTCGGCTATCGAGGCTTCTTTTCCTTCCTGAGTTCTTTTCTGCTTTCCACGATCATAAGGCCCCGGCTACGCTCCGTCTACCTCGTTCGGAGTCCGGCGGGTTTTCAGGCGACTTGGCGCGATTGTTTCGGGGCCAGCAGAACGTTGTTTGATATTTTAATCTTTTCACATAGACTTTCGCGACGAAATAACAAAAATAACAAATTTAAAAACTCTCTTCGGCGAAAGCGCCTTTCCTTTCGTTCAATATTATCAAAAAATAAAGAAGACGCGAGAAAAATCTCTCCTTCTCTCTCTCTCTCTCTCTCTCCCTCGTTAATAATTTTGATTTTCTCCGGCGAAACTTTAATTACTCAAAGAATCTCCCGGATGAACCACGTACGACTCGATGAGAGCGAGATACGCGCGATGTATTAATTAACGCCGACCTTACGTCGACGCTAATCGCATTACTGTAACGCGCACGGCTAATCCGCCTGTTAGCGAAGTTATCTTCTCGAAGTTATTCTTCCGCGCGGACTAACACCGGACCGCGAAAGATGCACAAAGAGAGAGAGAGAGAGAGAGAGAGAGAAACTACAACGTGAAAAGTTGCAGAGGAGACAACGTTAGGAGGCTCTTCGCGAGAGCTCTCTCGCACAGAGAAGAGGAATGCCTTCTCCTCGTTCTACGAGGAGAGCTTAGAGAATCCGGGAGAAAGTATTGGCGAGTTAAAGTCGATACGCGCTTAGATCTACAACGAGTTTTCAGTGAGGAATTTTTCTAGTGAAACCCACCGGCTCTTTCGCATGACCGTCTTAATGAGAACTGTCCGCGCCGCGTTAGAAAGAGAGAAAGAGAGAGAGAGAGAGAGAGAAAGAGAGAGCAAACGACGCTCCGCTTTTTCGCGTGACGATGTTTAAACATGCGATTTCAATTAAACGAGGAGATAAAGAAAAAAATTACGAAAAGAAGAAACGGAGAAAATCCAATCTCGATTTCTCTTTCTCGCAAGTTTCTACGATTTTCTACATTGTTTAAATTATCTTTACACACGGTAGTTCCGTTTTGTAACAAGAATAATATCAATTGAACAAAATTCCTTTGTCCGCGATCCGAAACTTACGACGTGAGAGCCCCGCGTGTTCGTCGGTTTGATAAAGAAATTAACATGCAAATAGCTAGTCTCGGTTCTCTTACACATGTGTCAGTGAGTGAGAGAGAGAGGGAGGGAGATACGCGTTTAGAAAAGCAATTAGCCCGGTATCTCTTTTGAATGTCGTTTGTGCGTATATAGATTAGGAAGTGTTTATCGTGTCGGATAAAGTCCCGCCGCGTATCTTGCGCTTGGGCGGGCGGTGTGAGAAAGGATAAGATAACAACAAAGGCAGCTGTTCATTCATAAAATTTCCTCCGCAGCGATTTAACTGGTTTCCTACGCGCTTGAATTTATGGAAACTAGACTCTAGCAGTTTGTAATCAGAGGACGTAACAACTACTTAAAACGACACTTTAAATATAAATTTAGATAATCGCGTGATGGATAAACGAGATAATTTTTTTTTTTTCGGCTTGTTATTTGGGAATATAAATTAATGGTTTACATTGGATGTTTCGAAACGTACCGAAAATGTATGACACA